CCCCCCGCCCATGACTCCTGCAGGCTCTCGGCAGTAACAAAGCAAACGAGTGAAAGTGAAACAAATAGTCTGCTGAGATCCACTACTTCTCACTCAGTGAAGCTCTTTTCAAATTCAAATACCTTAGAGGAAATGTATTTTCAGATGCCAAGTAAACTGCATCATAGCGCACGGGCGAAACAGCACCCCTGTGCGACCCCCCCCTCCCTCACTGAAATTGACAAGACAGAAGTGGAAGGTAGTTCTTAAAGAGACAGAGGCTAATTTCAAGGTGTTTAGAAGAGGAAGTGATGAGAAGATAAGTTTATTTTCTATTTAAACTTAAAAACTGCATTTTAATAACAGCTAAAGGTGACATAGATACTTTATTATGGTATAGTATTTAAATGTATGCCTGAGAAACACATAATATTAGCCCTTTAAAGGGTAAAAATGAATGCACCAGGTTTATAATTAAATACAGTATTTGGTTTTGTGCATCTTTTACAGCCTACTTATGGTGAAGTAGGGCCCCCAAAACAATTCTTCCTTAGGCCGGGCCCCCAAATGTCTAGATCCAGCTTTGACAGTGCATCTATGATCTAATGCTGAATAAATTCATGAAATTACTTCATGCAAAACACATTTTAAGTATTTTTACTGACTTTTTGTCTCCAGAGTTTAGCTCAGAGTTATTAGTTCATGACCTGATAGACAAATGAGACGGTGACGTCATTCAGTCACTTCCAGATCCTTTAAGACAGCCAGCTGACGAGTTGCACAAGTTATAATAGCAAGCTAAGCTGTTCACACAGGGCGCTACACCAAAGAAGCTAACTATTAGCTAACAGAAAACTGCTGCTTAACTGTAAAATCATCACAATCAACAGAATAAAAACAAACCTGATGTCTGCAGCTGATGGCTGACACTGTAAAAAGCTTCTATACGAAACTCCGTCGTGTTTTTTGTCTGTTTCTGATCAACAGATCTAAAATCCTCCGACTTCTCTTCTTCCTCTGTTTTTACCTGCTGTCTCCACATCTCACCAGCATTTACTGAGCTGTTACAGCTCAATACAGCTCTGAATTAAACTAATCTGTTAAATGTGCACTCTTCTTCTTCTTCTTCTTCTTCTTCTTCTTCTTCTTCTTCTTCTTCTTCTTCTTCTTTTGTTTTAATGGCGGTTGGCAGACTGTTAGTGCATTACTGCCACCACTAGACTGGATGGTGGAACTGGAGAATGCAGGCAAGAAGGGGGAAAAAAATCTATATTCAACTAAATAAACCTGTTGACTTAAAAATAAAATCATCTTACTGAAAATTTTGGCAGATTTATCCTCCAAAAGCGCAGATAGGTGATTTAATTGGAGATATATTTCGCACTTTGAAAAATGAAAGAAAAAAGTGTTAATTTACCATAATTTTTTTGAAAATATGTTAAACTTTGATAATTTGCTGTTTGTCAAACATTAGCTACATATTATTTTTACTTTTTATCAGGAAAAAGTGTATGATACAGCCCGATATGTCAACTCTGTTACGTAC